CTTAATTATGAAACTATTTGCATGCATATTTAATCATTTCAATATTTAGCTACATATGTAAAAACATGTGACATGAAAAACATTGCCACTAACGCGTACCTTACATTGGCACGATTTAACACGACAAGAACGAAGTTAACCCTAAGCCCCCCTTTGGCAGGGCTCATCGAGCGGCTTCTTGAGCGGCTCATGGTGAAGCCCTGCCAAACGCTATAACTCAAAATGGCTCACGAGGAAAAGTGAGGAGAAGCCCCACCTTTTCCGCTCTCTAGGTTCTTCCGCCGATGAGAAGCCAAAAATAGTGGCTCATACCGGCTCATTCCTCCACCCAAAATACTAAAGTATGCATGTGCCCTTGCTATTTCACAGAACTTACAACATTTGCCATCAGGCAAGCCTGCGAGCTCGGCAGCAGCATGGAGGTGGCGGCGGGGGTGGTGGCCAGCGGACGCCATGGCGGCCGGCGACACGTGCGGAGCCCACGGCCAGGCCAAAGCTCAGCAGCCGAAGCGGAGCACGGCGGTGTGCCGAGGCCGCGGCCATGTTGGATCTCGGTGGCGTGCCGAGGCCACGGCCATTGCGGAGCTTGAGCTCGGCGGCGCGGGTGGAGCACCGGCGGCGGCGGCGGTGCAAACCCCTGATGCGCCAGCGAAGAGCACGGAGGTGGGGGCATGGGTGGTGGCCTGGACGCCGCCCAAGAGAGAAAGAAGGAAAGAAAGGCCGATCGGATAAGGAGAGAGGAGGGGAAAAGAAGGGAAGGCCGATCGGATAAGGAGAGAGAAGGGGAAAAGGAAAGAAAATGAAAAGGAAAATGAAGAGAAAAAAGAAAAAGAAAAGAGAAAAAAAGAAATATAAGGGTATTTTGGACATTTGACATCTTCTTTCCAATCTGAAAAGCCAGAAGAAGCCGTTTTGTCAAACGTTTTCGTACAAAATAAGCCAGAGCCAGAAAAAGCTGCTTTTCCATATGAGCCAGAGCCAGAGCTGTTTTTTCACGATCCAAAGCCATGCCAAACGGGCCCTAAGTAGTTGCTTTTAATTAAAAGCTACTGAATAAATACAAATTAAATTAATACCTTATATTAAAATTTAGAAACATTTGTTATATTGGATGACGTTGCTAACACGTATCACACATTGCGATGAAACTCGCGCAATCGAATCAAAATCAAAAACCTAAATCGATTTTTCTTAGCGATTAATCAATTATAACACAATTAATATTTTAATAAAATAAATTCATAAACATGTGACATATAAACTAGTAACTCTACTGCATATATCTCGACGACACGAAACTAACGCAACTAGAATGAACTAAAACAGAGCTAAAACAATTAAACGGCGGGGATTAAAAGAAGTAGTAGCAATTTCGTAAATATCATCATCTTCTACCTTGCTTCAGTACGTACGTGGCCATGGTAGCCATGGCAGGTTGCTGCTGCTGCTCGCGGAGGGGGGACTCAATGCGGGGCAGGGGCCTTGGCCGCACACGCGCGCCACAAGGCAGCGGCGGCAGCTGGCCAGGCCGAACAGGCAGCAGGTGGCGGCCATGCCTGCCACTCGTGCGCGGAGGACAGGGGGCCGGGGCGCAACGCGCACGGGCCACGGGGGCCGCGCGGGTCGGCGCTGATGGCCGGGTCGGGCGTGGCGTGGGGCCATGGGCCAGGGGCGCAGAACCTGAGAGGAAGGGCTGGCCGGAGCTGCTGTAAACAAGAAGAAAGGGCTTCCATGGTGAGTTCGCCAGAGAAAAAAGAGAAGGGATGGGGAAACAATGAAACGGGCACGTATTCACGAAACGAAGGGCGTGTTGGTGTAGATGATGATGAGATCTACCTCTTAGCGGTGACGGTTTCCACAGGGGACGTCGGAGATGGCCAACAAACCTTGCCGAAGGTTCACCGGAAACGTTCGCTAGAAATGAGATGCAGAACTTCGGCGTCCGATCTATGGGGCTACGAGTGGCGGCCCGAAAAACAGGCTGTACTTTTGGAATACTTGCGTCGAGGGCTACGCCAACATATATATATGCACAGGGTTTGGAGATTTTGGAAAGTCGAGATATTTTAGGAATCATTGATTTTCAGAATTAAAATAATTCTAGAAAATCTAAAATTACTATTTAAGCTCCGAAAAATATCTCTGAGCTCTGAAAAATACTAGAAAATTTTCGAGGATAGATGGAAGGATAAGGAACACAACCAAAGTGGTTTTAGCTCCCGAAAAAGATTTTTGGATTGATCGAGGAAAAAGACAAAACTCTAAGAAATAGGAATTTAATCCCGTAAAAGGTCGAAAAAATTCCCGAAAAGAGAGGCATTGTTCTAACGCATCTTAAAACCTTTTCCAAGCCTTTGGATTTTGAAAACAAAGCATCTTATCTAACTTTTGTTTTTGCAAGTTTTCAAATTCTTTTTAAACCACTACTTGAAAATAATTTATTTGAGATTTGAATTTATTTTTCAGACCACTCGTCACAAAAGTACCAATGCAACGGCATGTGTGCACAAACATGTTGCTACCCTTATGTTGGATTTTAACTTAAAGAAAATTTTCTTTTACCTATGTTTTTATGAGCACAAAACAATTAACAGAAATCATTTTACTCTTTTTAGAAAGTAGCTAATTTTAGGGTGTTACAGCTACCGCATGTAGGTTGTTCTGGTTTTCCTGTGTCAGGGAATCACTAACAAAGTCGTTGTATGTAGCACATTTAGAGTTGGGCATTGTTTTCATCAACTTGGTGCTAAGGCCTCTCTTAAAACTTTCAATCTTTGCTTCTGTATCAACAAATTCTGGGGCATAGCGGGACAAGTTATTGAATGCATGCATATTCTCTGTAAGAGTCTTGGTCCCTTGGGTGAGATTCATGAACTCAGCTGCCTTCATGCACATCAGCCTCGGGAGAATATGATGCCCCCTAAATGCTGCCTTGAATTGATCCCAGGTGACAATTGCATTTGCAGGTAGGGAAGACAGATAATGGGTCCACCAAATTCCTGCTGGCCCCTGCAACTGATGGGATGCGTACTCTGCCTTCATGGGTTCAGTGACTCTCAGCAACATAGGAGCAGGGCGCGGTGTTTGACCGGCCATATCTCGCCGGCGGCGAGGTCACCGGTAGGGAGGTCGCCACCGACGTGCTTCCCTCGACACCCCGCGTCGACTGGTACCTATGATTGACTCAGCACGTCACTGGAGCGACCTCGCCGGTGAGCATGGCGGCTCGGCGGCGGCGCGTGGTGGCGAATTCGCCAACTCCGGCGAAGATGTGACCAAGCAAGCATGGCTACGGCTTCTACGAACCCTAGCGGAGCTCTACGGTGCGGATCGAGCCACGGTGAAGCGACGGTGAGCTCCAGCCACGTTATGCGTTAGGTATGTAGTAGTGAATTTTCTCCCATGTGAACTTCAGAGAGATTCGTTAGATTACCAACAGATAAAGGAATTGGTGGATAAACGCCCGTTTGGATCTAGATGAGACCCGTTATAATTCTAGAGAACCAAAAATGTATTTTAGGACTTTGAGGACCTAGATGATATCTCTTGACAACTTTAAGAACCGCTGCTGTATTTTACTCTAAATAGAATATCTTGCACGCAGCTCTCGACACTCTAGATATAAGTTCTTTTGTCTTATATGTTGAAAAATTACATCATTTTGACATATTAATTTTTATTTAAAACAACCTAGATGTGTAATCGCTATGACAAGGCAAATGAGGTATTCAATTTTCATCACTCATCTTTTCGCAATGTCATTACTTTCTTTTGGCGTTTTGATGATGAATGGAGATTTTTTGTTGGGCTTATTGTCATATCTGATGCCAAAGCAAAGCCAAATAATTTTGTCAATGCGCGAGGAATCTTCATATGAGCCAAGAGGTGGCAATCGACATGGCGGTGGCAAGGATCATAACATGAATATCTTCCGTGAGAACATCGCTAATAGGCGAGAGTGATGTAGATAAAAAAAGTAGCACTCTCTAAAAAGTTTTATGTATTGTTTGAACTACAATTTCTTTGGATTACATTAGGTCTGCATGTGGATAAACATTTTTTGTTGAACTATGTGCCATATTTTGTTGAACTATTTACTGTACCAATTTTAAATTATTTATTTATCAATATCAATCAGGTTGATTATTATTTTAGCAAGCAAACAGCAAAAAAATTGAACTCCGTCAGGTCTCAGGGCATGTACAGTTCAGTGGCTGAAAAATCCAAAAGGTACAATAGTTCTTTTGAATTAGAACTTTAGCTCATGATCCAAACGATCATGTAGTTTGGACCTTTAAAGTTTAATCATTTAAAATTTAAATCTAAACTTTTGGCAACAAAATTTTAGACCGAGAATCGAACTTCACGAAACTGTTTTTTCCTTCCCCTACCGCATAGGTACTGATGAAACAACTTCTTAAAAGCTGTTATATAGAAGCGTGTTTGGTTGAGGTCCTCCTAGGCAACTCCCATGCCAGGAAGCCATATGTTGCCTGCGCGCTAGGCAGCACCGGCCAGGAGCAATCCAAACACGCCTTTAGCTTCTTGTCACAGAAATAGTTTCGCAGATGAAGATGGAAATACTAGTTTTTCCTGGCTCTCTTTCTACTATCATCTTTGAGAAGCCGTTTGACCAATTTTTTTTAAATAACTTTAACTTTATTACTGAAGCTGCTCTATGGAATCAAAGAAAAAAACTATTCACTAGTAAGGCCGAGGTCTACCAAACAAGTCCGTAGTTTAGAAGTCCAGCCGTACAGTAGTACTAGTTTACTGTATCGATCGACGTGCGCAAAAGTCTTCCAACAGCGTGTAGGTACAGAGATCATAATCTGAAACTGATGCTTTGGGTGGCAGGGTGCGAATAGTTTGTCGGCAGTATCGCAGGCCACCAGCAACTTCATTTAATAGGGAAGACGGAGTGTTCGACAGAGCAAGCAGCACTGCAGCAGCAGCAGGAACCGCACCTTGGCACCGCAAGAGCTGACCGACCCTCGGCCATGTCGACTCGACCTGAGAAGCCAGCCACCCACGCGGTGTTCTTCCCATTCCCGGCGCAGGGCCACGTCACGCCGGCACTGCACCTGGCCAAGCTCCTCCACGTCCGTGGCGGCGTCCGCGTCACCTTCGTCCACTCCGACCGCAACCGCCGTCGCCGCCGCCTGCTCCGCACACGAGGCCCCGCCGCGCTGGCCGGCGCCCCGGGCTTTGGCTTCGCCTCCATCCCGGACGGCCTTCCGCCGCCCTGTGGTGAAGACGATGGCGACTCCCCGCAGGTCATGGTCAGCCTGCTTGCGTCACTCGACACCTTTGTCCCGCACCTCAAGAAACTGCTCGACGACCTGTCTGCCTCCGGAGCACCGGCAACATGCGTCGTCTCCGACATCGATCCCGTCCTGCGCGCCGCCGCGGACGTGGGTGTTCGGGCGGTGGCCTTCTGGACGACGAGCGCCTGCGGGCTCCTGGCGTCCCTGCAGTGCCAGCAACTCATCGACAAGGGCATAATTCCCCTCAAAGGTACTGCATGGAGATGCTAGCTGTCTCTGATTAGTGATTAATATCGATCCGTAGATGAACAATTATTGATTGGTTCATCAATTGCTACCAACCATCAATGTCCAACTCCGTCTGCAGATGAAGAGCAGCTGCGCGATGTCTACCTGGACAGCACGGTCATCGACCCGGTGCCGGGGCTGCCGGCAGACATGCGCCTGCGCGACATGGCAAGCTTCGTCCGGACAACGGACCCCGATGACCCCGTGCTCCGCATCGTCCTTGCACACATGCAGGCTCTACCGACGGCCGCGACCGCCGTCGTCCTCAACACGTTCGGCGAGCTGGAGGGCGAGGTCGTCGCCGCCATGTCGGCCGTCCTTCCACCCATCTATGCCGTCGGCCCGCTCCCGCTGCTCACGGAAGCCGATTCCGGCCCACTGGAGACGCTGAGCGCCAACCTCACCAAGGAGGACGACGGGTGCCTGGCTTGGCTCGGGAGCAAGGAACCCCGGTCCGTGGTGTATGCCAACTTCGGGAGCATAGTCGTGCTGACGAGCCAGCAGATCGAGGAGTTCGCGTGGGGGTTGGCCAACAGCGGCTACCACTTTCTGATGGTGCTCAGGGGCGCCATGCAGACGACCACGACGCTAGCGCCGGAGTTTGTCGAGGCGACCAAGGACCGGGGCTATGTGACGAGCTGGTGCCCTCAGCGGGAGGTGCTCCGGCATCAGGCCATCGGCGTGTTCCTGACGCACTGTGGGTGGAACTCCATGCTCGAGGGCATCTGCTCCGGGGTGCCCATGCTGTGCTGGCCCTTTGGTGCGGACCAGCATACCAACCGCCGATTCGCCTGCACGGAATGGCGCGTTGGCGTCGAGATCGGCAGCGACGTCAAGAGAGGGGAGGTGGAGACGCTAGTAAGAGATGTCATGGGAGGGGAGAAAGAAAGGAAGATGAGAGGACAAGCTGCCCAATGGGAGGAGAGAGCATCTGCGGCTTCAGAGCCAGGTGGGCCCTCTTGGGTCAACTTTGATAGGTTGCTCAATGAGGTTTTCCATGCTTGATCCATATCGATCTAATACCCTTATAGTATGATACTACGACCCCATCATGTTTCAAATAATACCAGTCTTACCGCGTATTCTAAACTTTATGGGCGCGTTTGATCACCTGCACCGATTACCGAGCCAGGCTGATGGGGTGCAAGGTCCTTTATTTGTTTGCTTGGAGAAGTGGAGGTAGGGGTAAAAAAGGTACGATTGTATTTTAGACTGAATTTGTTTATGCTGATTCAACTATATTCGAGTCTAGATATTCAACATCCAATACTGTATCCGTATCAGAATACTTAAATCATATATTTATTATGTCGATATCTAATTGTATCATATCTGACGTTGTTGACACTATTCATATTCAAATCTAAATATTAACAAAAATATAAAAACAAATGTAATATCAATAATATCTGTCCGTATCTTATCCATTTTCATCCCTACCTGCAGCAGAGATTCGGCCAGCCTCGCAAACGACTTAAAGCAGCAAAGATGCTGCATCTAGAGAAACGAAAGCCAGGCTCGCTGCGAGCAAGGAGCGGATGTTGCTATCACCACGCTTCGCGTCACCCTCCATGCCGACCTCCCTCAAGACGGCGGCCCGCGTCGGGATCTTGCTGCTCCGCTCGACACCGCCTCGGGCGCCAGGATCTCCTCTCCATCGACGACGCTGACGAGGTCGACCCGAACCTCAACCTCGTCCATGGCTGCGGCGGCTCGCAGCTCTAGGAGAGGCACGGCGCGGGATGGAGCACGCAGGGCACACGCGAGGGAGGCGCGGCGTGCCCTGAGCATGGTGGATGCGAGGACAGGCTCCGGTGGATGCGGTTGGACAAGCTCCGGTGGATGCACGTGCGCCGGCGATGCACGCGGCGCTGCTAGCCGCCGTCGTTGCCACCACCCTCTCCCGCGTCGACGTGTCTGCTCCCTGCTCCTTGCCGCCGCCGCCTACCGTGGCCTCCGCGCCTACGCCTTGCTCGCGCTCACCTTCCCCCCCTTCCACCTCGTGTATAGCTCAGACGCCCTCTCCGTGTCGTCGGAGACCTCTTGGCAAAGAGGACGCGTCGTCGGCTGCTGCGGCGGCGACGGTGTCGGTGGCTTGCTCCTCTGCGCGCTCCACGGCGTCATGGCCGTGGTGGTGAACTTGCTCACGCCAAGTGTTCGATGGAATGAGAATAAGGAGGTTTGGTGTTTCATTAAAAAAAGAAGGTTTGGTGGTAATGTTACCACATGCTCAAATGCAAGGTATGCATATCCATTTGTACAAAGCAAACAGACAAGATCCTGGCCAGCTAGACCCTACTGCTTCCGAGCAAACAAACATGCCCAGTTGCACTGCCTACGGGCTGCCTAGTGCTAGCTAGGCCCAGCTCGTATGCGCCGGCCAGCCTGGTGCAGGCAATCAAACAGGCCTATATATATCTTAATTTTACGTAAAAATTTTATATAATTCTAAAAAGAGTTTTATGGTACCTGATAATGTGATCCTAATCTTATAATAACATACAATAATTGATATAAATGACTTTTTAAATGATTCGGTAGTGTGATAAAAATACTATTTAAAGTAAAGGATGTTGAAAATAATACCAAGAATTATCTTTAAATGTAAAAAAAAAAAATAAATTAATCAAAATCAATATTATAGCCTTCAATCTATACAACACATTACAAATCTTACTTAAAATATATAATTTGTAAAATCAATAGTATTCCGATACTACGATACGATCCATAAACCCGATATTGTTAGGTAAAAAAGATACCACCTAGGATATCTATCCGAACAACCACAACGAGCTTATATCACATCTAGATTACCGTGTAGAATAATACTCTATCCATTTCAAATTATAAGTTATTCTATTTTTTCAAGATACATTGTTTTAATATATATCTAGACATAATATATATTTAGGTGCGTAGCAAAAATAATGTACCTAGAAAACATAGAAGGACTTACAATTTGGAACAGATTGTTTAAGTACATTGTTGTTTTGTGTCAAAAAAGTGCATGATTCTTTTCTCTCTTGACCATTTTTCCATGTATGTTCGGAAGTGAAGTATTAGGCTCTCTTAACCACGGTTGTGCATGGTTTTGGCTTATGTAACATTGACACACGATTGACGTACTGTAGCTCCGCTATTCATTGAACTATTGTTCTCTCCTCTCCCGAAACAACTAGAAGCCGGTGAAGAGCCACTCCCAGTAGGCTTCGCCGACTCATGGAAGCCATTTGTATAGTGACAAAAATTGGAGAAGACGAAACCCGTAAGCTTTGCCAAAGCGGCTCTTAAACTTATCCATGCTTATGCTTGTAAGAGCTCTGGTCAGCTTTGATCCATGTGTCATACTAAGGAGTACTTTATCTCTCTTCTAAAATAAATAGGAGTCGATGAATCAACTGTTAACTTTACTGGCCCTAGCTTCTTCGTGCACTAAAATTATTGGTCCCATATTAAATTGGACATTAAAGCCTACGTTCTTGTTAAGATACACTTGTATGTGTCTATCGGCTATATATAGTTTGTCTTCGTGGATTCCGACTTTGACTAATCTGGTTCTAAATCAAGACATGCATCTATATTTTTGTTGACTTAAGGGTGACATATAAGATCGAACGAATGAATGCAACTTTAGCATGAGTGCATGACCCCTACGCAAATTGCTAAATCCAAATTTTAAGGGTTAATTTAGCAAAAAAAAAAAAAAGGAATACAAATCCAATAGAGCTCGTTCCTAAGTTAGATCTGTTCGGCTTATCAGCCCGACTTATTAGCTATACTATAATATTTTTCTCCCACAACAAAACAGCCATAGCCGACTTATTAGTCATAAAAACCATCAGCCGAACAGCTTTGGTCATTAAAACCGTTTTCCAGCCCCCAGCGTCAGTCTGCCCTCCCCATTGCATAGCCCCTTTTTGTAGACTGCCAGCCCACAGGACACAGGGGAGCCTCTCCTTGGTCCTTACTGCCGATGCCGAGACCCTCCCCGTGCAGCGATGGAAGATGGGAGAAAAGAAAACGCACCTGCCACTGACTAAAAGGTCCTACTTATAATAAAAATATCAAAGCTTAAAGTTCAAGTATTGGAGGGGTGGGAAACAACCGAATAGATGCCTGTGCAAGGAAACTATATTATTCGGTGCATATTGCAAAGGGGTGGTGCTAGGAAATAAAGATGAGCTGACTGGAACTAGGAACTTGAGGACGGCATTGTAGTAGATTCCCGGTCCCCAATCCCCATTTGTGCAGAGGAGACGAGTACTAGTGGAGTGTCTCTCTGATTTCCATCACTAGTTTCTTCAGTCCCCATTTGTTCAGAGGAGGCAAGTACTAGTGGAGTGTTTCTCTGATTTGCCTCAGTAGTTTCTCCAAGACATGCCCTATGTACTGCATGCTGCGTCTATTTACTTTTCATGCATCTTTGACTCCGTTTACTAACCATCTACAAACGAGTTGAAAACGGGTCTTGAGTTTACAAACATGGATGAGTTACTAATAATCAATTAGTCTATTTAATTATTGCCAGTGTAACGACAAAGTCTCCAATATACACAACTCACCATATTCTTTTCTATTTCTAATTATATAATATGGTAGCAAAAGTCAGGCTAATAATGATAAAAAAAAACTCATTAACATCGTTTCTCAATGCCTTTTTTGGGTTAATAACATGAAAACGATTTTGAAGAGTTGACTAGCTTCAATAACCACATCTATATATAAGGGACTGATTAGTATAATAGGCACACGAAAGATTCTATCATGACTAGCATAGTGCCCGTGCTAACGCCACGGCTTCATTTCAGGGATACACGTAAAAACAACCAAACAACGATATTTTTCATACACGCAATTATATATGACATTACATATAATCCAGTAAGCATAACGAGGCATAATAAGTCATGTCTCGCCTCAACCATCTAACTTATGATTTGCTTAAGTAGGTCTTGGAGTTCTCCCGTGCTAAAACTACAGTGGCGTCTAAAAAAATAAATCATAAAATTAAAATAAAGCATAAAACTAAAAAATCATAAAACTAACGGCATGGAACCTTTTCAGCATTAAGGCAGCCTCTGTATTCAGGACAGGTACAAGTGCCACCAAGGAATTCCAGCAATTCACTGAGCATTTTTTTACAAGCATTGACGACAAACATTTGGTTGAGTCTAGAGATGCAACAAATTAACCCAACAAATTACTCGGCCACTAACCTCCACAATCGCATCAGTGCCATACTCCCTCCCCCACTAAAGCATATCAATCCACATTTGTTTTGCTTTGTCGATATCAAATTTCCTTGCTTTCAGAAATCTACAGATCAGATTTAGCTGGATATATATAGCTCAGCATTATAGCTCAGCATTATATGATAGTCATCATGTCTTGCAGGCAACAGCTCATCCAAGGGTAGTTCATGTCTAAATGCTTGAACAACTTGTAGCTCCTCTAGATCGCGCACATCCTTGGTCTCCTGTTAGGCGAGGCGGCACCCCTGCGCCTAGCGCATAAGCGCGCCCAGGCGAGCGCCTAGGAGCGCCTGTTTGAACATTGTACACACCTAAATCAGAAGTTTAGAAGTGACAGAGTAAGCTCAGTGAAGAACATGGATCAAACATACACTGGAGCTTAAAATAAAAAAGACTAATATTCATCAAGTGCAAAAACTAAAATCCTTCACATTAAGCATTATGGGAGCAAACATAAAAAAATAAACGGACCATGTCAAATAACAAAGGGATCAATATCTTATTCAAAAACTAAAATCCTTCACACCTCATAATCTCATTAATAATTAACAGCACAAATGAATTGCATTGTCTTAGTTTAGCGGGAAATGTCAGAGCACATTGCATCCGAACCTGTTCATTGGCTGGCTGCTTGCAAACGCCAGCCCACTGCTTGCAAACGGCGCCGCCCGAGGCAGCTGCTGCTGCAGCGAGGCGAGGCGTGAGCGGTAGCACCACATCCAAGACCATGAGGTTGAACTAATCATAGTT